CGACGCCTTGATGGATATTTAAATGACGACCACGACTTCAAACGTCTCAGGATTCGGACCTGAGAACCGGCGCATGGATGGGGGTAGTGTCCCGGCCCCCCTGCGTGGTTATTCAGCGACGGACAGGCACAGGGGTTGACCGCGGGCCCCTGTGTTGAATTCGTGATCGCGAAGCGTCGTGGCAGGGGCATGGTCCTCTGGCACGTCGTCAACTGACGACAGGCCAACCTCCAATATATGCTCCGATAAGGGCAGGAATCGGAGCAGAAGCAGGAGTAGTGATTACTACGACCCGCTTTCCGACAAGGACCCAGATTATCTAGGGTCCTCGTCTGAGTGTAGGCGTCAGAGAGACCGTTCCCACCGGGAAATGAGTAAGGCGGGCCCTCAGTCGAAGAAAGAGCAGCCGCGCAACGTGGGAGTGAGAACCCCGGCTAACATCGGCCGGAAGGACGGTCCCTACCGTGGGACTCGCCTGGTGAGCTCACGGATTAAGAATGAGCGGCCACCCCACGAGGGAGAAAAACCCCCGTCGATTGACGAGAAGCACCCCCTCCACCGCGGGGGGGGGTGAGGCAGGCTCCCGGGGAGAAGAGGAGCCTCTGCCCAACGAGGGACAGGAGGTGGCTTAGGGGGCAGCACCAGACCCAGCCCCGACGCTTGAGCTTGATAAGCCGGGCCCCCTCAGTAGCAAGAGGGGGGTCACCCGAGCAATGGGGGATAACGCGGACGCGATCGCGAGTAGGAAAGCCACTGGGAAATCAGTGATCGTGGAAGACGTGGTCCTTTCCCAGAGATCGAAGGTCCGGGTGAACAGGGACCCGAGGACCGGGAGGTTCATCCCCGCAGGAACGACAGCCACCGAAGGCAAGGCAGCCAGCAGCCAGGCGACCGTCGGCCAGGTGACCGCGGTGAACAAGGCCACCACTAGCAAGGCTAGCGATGGCGGAGGGAGCGGTACTGGCTCGACGGCGACGGGTAAGAAGGAAGGAGGAAGGATGAACCTGGGCTCAGACTCCGCGGCTAAAAAGAGAGCGAAGGAGTCTCCCCCGAAATTGGATCTCCCGGATGGAGACCCGCGGAGGAGAAAACCCACGCATGGCCTGTATGTGAACATCAGGCAAAAGAGGGAGGCGGAAGCCATAAGGAAGAGAGGGGAGGAGGAAGCTCGCCTCGAGGCGGAGGTTGTGGACCTTCTCGACAGAGGTATCCGCCAAAACGGTGGAGTTGGCCTCGGAGGTGGGCCACGCTCTCGGCTCGGTCAGGTTGGTGGCACGGAGGTCCAGGACCTTGAAGGGGACCTTCGTGTCGCTCCTAAATCGCGCCATGGCCACCTCCGAGGCCACCATCACGACTTTGATAGCGAGGTTTGCGGCGCAGGACAGAGAGGAGGAGGCCGTCTCTGCGTCCAATAAGGAGGCGGAGGAGCTCCGCGAGGAGGCGAGAGCCCTCAGGGTCAAAATCCGGAGCCTCGAGGAAGAGGTGAGGGCCAGAAGCATAGCGACGGGCCCAGCACCAGCGCCACAGATAGTTGCGATGTACGCGGAGGCCGCGAAAAGCGGCGGAGAATCGACGGCGGAGGGAAGGAAGCTCCCGCATCCAGGACTATCGAGGCCCAAAAGGAAGAGGCTCCAGAAGAGGACCGTCATTGACAGCTCCTCGAACTCTTCTAAGGAGGTGGGTGGGACCCCGCGGGCGGGATTCCGTCTTTTGAAGATAATCTGCCGGAGGATGCATCCCTCCTGCCCTAAAACCTTCGATCAAGGGGGTCCAGAAGGAACTCGAGGATGATTTGGCCTTCCTAATGGGAACCCGGGGCAGAAGGAGGCGGTAGAGACCTGCACTCGATGGATCAATTACTTCATCGATAGGAAGGGTGAGGTCATGGAAGATAAGGGATCTAGGATCTCAGGAAGGGAGGTGGCGAGTCCGACCCCCGTTCATCCCACTGCCCCGGCCTCCCCGACCGGTAAGGCGATTGCCAACCCGGCTGGAGATGGGGTGAAGGGGAGAAAGATGTACAAGGAGAGGTCTGCTGCTCAGGAGAGGAGAGAAAGAAGGAAGAGACTGAAGGCAAAGGAGAGGGAAAAGCAGCAGAGGAGGACGACTGAGGCTCAGGAGCGGGCGGTCCCAACATCGGACCGGGAGGAGGGGAAGGCGGTCCCTTCCCAAGTCGCGGCGGTCCGCTCCCAAGTCGCGAACAGAGCCTAGTCCAAACCAACAGGAGGGAAGGGGCTCCGACGGGAACGAGGGGATGCAGGAGCGAACCCTGGCAGCGGGAGAGCCAGAGGGGGAAAAGAGAAGAATGGCAGACCAGCAGGCCAAGAACCCGGGACCCTAAAGGCAACCCAGGTGATCTCCCCCCAAGTCTCAAATGTTCCAGGGTCAGTGAGGTGGAGCAAGATAGTAGGGAGGAAGGAGAAGAAGAGGGAGAGGAAGAAGAAGGAGAAGAAGAGTATGGGAACAGCCCCTCCTCAGCCGGTAGCCGGTCCAAAGAGGGGACCAGCTGCTGCGGCGGTGATACCGAGGCCACCAAAATCGGCAGCCATCACCATCACCTGCCCAAAGGACGCCTATAAGGAGTTCATGGTTGAGGCCAGGTGCCGGATCAAGCCGGCGGACGTGGGCATACCCGGTACCTTTAGGATCCGCACGGCCCTTACCGGGATCCTGCTGATCGAGGTGTCTGGCCTCAACGCAGGGGCCTCCGCCGACCGGTTTGCCGAGGAGCTCGGTAAGCTGGCGGCGAAGAAGGGCCTTGACTATCGCGTCCAGAGGCCGTGAAGACGCAGTGCTGCGGCTCACCGCTCTGGACGCGACGGTCGGGGTCGAGGAGGTGGTAGCCGCCGTGGCCCTCGCTAAGGGATGCCCGCCGGCGGAGATTTCCGGAGGCAAGTCACGACTCTCCCAGCGCGGGACGGCCACGGCTGTGGTGCGGTGCCCGTTGGCGGCGGTCGCCAAGGTCGCTGCCGCGGAGCTGGTCCAGGTGGGCTGGACCCGAGCCGGGATGACGGCGCTGCCCGCTCGCACGGCGCTTTGCTACCGATGTTTGGAGCAAGGCCATGTGCGCGAGCGGTGCAAGAGCGCCGTCGAGCGCAGCGATAATTGCTATCGCTGCGGTACCTGAATCCTGCGGAACTTAGGCTCCGTGGCCTCGAACCATCCACCACGGAAGAAGAGGTGGCCGAAGAGATAACCAACGTAGGTGGATGTGAAATCGACAGCGTGAAAGCGGGTAGGATAAGGACATCGCCAAACGGATACAGATCAATTTGGGTCCAGTGTCCCCTACTAGCTGCAAAAAAGGCGGCAGAAAGGGGGACACTGGCTGTGGGTTGGACCCAAGTTAGGGTAGAGATATTGGATGCTAGATCCCTTCAGTGTTTCTGCTGTATGGAGAGGGGTCACGTCCAGACTAGATGTCAAAACGCAACAGATAGAAGCAGAAACTGCTACAGATGCGGAAAGGAAGGACACCTGGTCAGGAATTGTGAATCCCGAGCCTGGTGTTAGATATGTGCGGATGGAGGTAAGGCTGCCGATCACCGCATGGGAGGACTCGCTTGCAATGCCCCCAAGAAAAGGAAAGGTAAGGGAAAGGGGATGCTGGATGACAAGAAGCCAGTTAAAGCAGCAGCAGTAACAACAATGGCAACATCGGCTGAAAAAACTACTGCTATGCCCTTGACCTCTGCAGAAAAAGGAGCGAGAAGGAGACTGCTCTCTTCCCTTCCTCCCTGTCCAAAGACCCCCTCTAACGCACGGGGAGGGGAGGAAATGGACGTAGAGAGGAGGGGAGAAAAAGAGCTCGTGCAAGAGATGAGAAGGAGAGTGATGGGCTGGAGGAGCCGAACGACAAAGTCGTAGTCGACACGCAAAATGGCGACTAGACTCCTCCAGGCCAACCTGCACCGCGCTCGCCAGGCTATGCCGCTTTTTGAACATACCATGTTAGAGTGCGGTGCAGGATTGGGGATAGCGGCGGAGCCCTATTATGTTCCAAAGAACTACCCGCGATGGTTCGGGGACAATACGGGCTCCGTCGCTATCACGTGGAGAACAGGCAATCACTCCCCTCCCGCGGCCTAATTGGATAAAGGGAGAGGGTATGTAATGGCCAGGTTAAGGGGCCCTGGTTGTAGTCGGGGTCTACCTCCCCCCAACAAAGAGCCTGGACCTTGCGAGTTACAGGGCCTGGCTCCAAGATATCGGGAGGGCTGTCAGGCAGTACCTCCCGGGACCTGTCATCATCGCCGGGGACTCTAACGCCAAGTCTCCACTCTGGGGTTTACCCCGGGATGATGACAGGCGGGGGGAGGAAGTCGAGGAATGGGCCGCGGACTTGGGCCTGCGCATAATAAACGAGAGAACGAAGTCTACCTTCGTTGGGTCGCGAGGGGAATCGGTCATAGATCTTACTTGGGCAACCCCTGCGGCCCGTGGAAGGGTGCAGGCCTGGAGGGTGGCGGAAGAGCTTGAATCCCTTTCGGGCCACCTTATAATCGAGATGGAGCTCTCCGTCATCCCCAATGGATTACCGCGGCCCGGCTGAATAAAGACCCACGACCAGCAAGATGGACCCTTAGCTAATTAAACAGGTCTTGGACCTCATCCTGGAGGCGTCCACCTGGCCACGGTGGAAGGAGGGGCGGGAGCTCGACTCGGCAATAGCAGAGATAATGGGCCTGATCGCGCATGCGTGCGATCAGGCCATGCCAAAGATGAGGTCCTGCCCCAAAAGATCTCCTGGTGGTGGACCGACGAAATCGCCGAATTAAGGCAAAAGTCGGTCCACCTCAGGCGGGTCTTAAGAAGAGCCCGTGATGGCAGGAAAACCCCCGAGGAGACCAAGGCCGCCCGTATTGAGTTTTGCGTGGCCGCGCGTGCACTGCGCAAAGCCATGGGGCGGCCAAAGGTCAAGGGTGGGACACCCTCCTCAGATCGTTGGACGTGGACCTGTGGGGGTGTCCGTACAAAATCGCTATGCAAAAGTTGAGACCATGGACGCCCCCACTGACGGAGACGCTAGACCCCGATTCCTGGAGCGAATCATGGGGACACTTTTTTGCCTTGAAAGATGGAAACCTCCCATCGGTCCCTATGTCGTTCCCCCTCTGGATCAACAGAGGGAGGTTCCGGGGGTCACTGAGGAGGAGGTGGTCAGGGCCATCAGGAAGATTAAGAGACGTAAGGCTCCAGGACCTGATGGCATACCCGGCCGCGTACTCACCCTTGCCTCTGGGGTCATCACGGGTAGTCTGGCCGAATTATTTTCGATCGCCCTCGAGGAAGGCAAATTCCCCCCCGTCTGGGGGAGGGCCAACGTGGTCCTCCTCCGTAAAGAGGGCAAGCCGGAGGGCACCCCCTACGCGTACCGCCCCATGTGTCTCCTAGACGAGGCGGGCAAGGTCTTTGAGAGGATCATAGCTGCCCGTCTCACGGAGCATATGGCCCAGGTAGGTCCGAGCCTCGATGATGGCCAATACGGCTTCCGAGAAGGTAGATCCACAATAGATGCGATTTCGCATCTCAGAACCCTCTCGGAGGCCATAGTGAGAGAGGGCAGGGTGGCAGTGGCAATATCTATAGACATAGCCAATGATGCCTTTAACACCCTGCCTTGGGGTAGCGTGGTGAGAGAGATGATGGAGCACTTTCGTTTCCCACGGTACCTCGTGGCCGTCATCGGGGACTACTTCCGGGGTCGACGCCTCACTTGGACGAGCGCCGATGGCGGTAAATGCGAGAGGGGGATGAGCTGCGGGGTTCCACAAGTGTCTGTGTTGGGCCCACTTCTGTGGAACCTCGGATACCACAAAGTCCTCCGGGTAGCCCTCCCCCCGGTTGCAGTATCATCTGCTATGGGGATGATATCTTGATACTGGCCGGGGGAGAGACTGGGGGGATGCAATCCATACGGCGAACTTCGCAATGCACTGCGTCGTGCGTGCCATCCGTGAGGTGGGTCTGACGGTGGCGGAGAATAAGATCGAGGCCATCTTTTTCCACTCAAAAGGTATGAAGCCACCTCAGGCCCACCTACGGATCGGCAGGGTCAGGGTTCCTGTCGAGGCCCAAATGAGATACCTGGGCCTCATTCTGGACGGCACCTGGTGCTTCAAAGAGCACTTCAGCCGCCTGGCTCCCCGATTAAAGGTTATATCAGCCAACTTGGGCAAATTAATGCCCAATATCGGGGGGCCGGACATGAAGGCGCGTCGTCTCCACGCTGGGATTATCAATTCGTTTGCTATGTAGGGTGCGCCCATCTGGGCGGAGGCCCGGGCGGCCAGTCATCCGTTCTGCGCGGTAATGCGCAGAGCACAGAGGACGGTGGCGAATAGGGTCATTAGGGCGTACCGTACGGTGTCCCACGTGGCGGCGACGGCCCTGGCGGGCATGCCCCCTCTGAAGCTCCTTGCGTTGATGTACAGAAACATGTACAGGAAGAAAAAGGAGCTCCAGAGGAATTTAAGGGCTGGCGATTCGCTCGCCGGGGCGCTCAGGCGCGCGAAGCACCAGAGTCGGCAGCTCCTTCTCCAGCGCTGGAATAGGCGTATAATAAACAGCAGGTATGGGAGAAGGAGCGTCGAGGCCGTCCAGCCCTGCCTGGCCGAATGGGCGGGCAGGGAGTCAGGAACCCTGACATTCAGGACGACACAGGTGCTCATCGGGCACGGTTGCTTTGGTGAGTACCTGTGTCGAATCGGTAAGGAACGCACGACGCAGTGCCATCATTGCGGAAATGACCACGACTCCGGGCAACACACCCTAGAGGCCTGCCCGACATGGGCGGCTCAGCTCGTGGTCAGGGAGCTGGGTCCCGACCTCTCGCTCCCCAGTGTCATCACTAAGATGCTGGAGAGCGAGAGGAAGTGGGACACAATCACTAAATTCTGCGAAAAGGTGATGTCGCAGAAAAAGGAGGCGGAGGAGCACCGCCGACTAATGGAGGGAAGGAGGAAAGCACAGAGGAGGCGGCAACACCGCCGAATTGAAAGACGCTCTCCCAGCAGAGAAGGAGATGTTGACTCCTCTGAAGAGGAGGCTATTCGGGGTATAGTTGGTCTTCCCCCACCACTACCCCTTCCACCTATCCCCTACCCCTCCTTTACTCCTCCCCCCTTCCCACCCTACCCGCTATTATCCTCCTCTTCCCCTTTCCCCACCCCATCCCCAAACACCACCAATCCCTAGGAAGGCCCTCCTCCCCACCTGAGTAATGCCCCCGAGAAGGGCAAAGCAAGGAATGGGAGGAGTAGCATTAGGAAGGGTGGCGGTGGCAGACACTGTGAGTCAGCCCACTGCCAAACCCAGGGCAGGAGAACAAAGACTGGGAACCAGTCAACCGACTCCCGGTCACCCGCCGATCCCCAAAATGGGGATCGGATGAGAGCGAGGAGGGAATGAGATGACAGCGTCGCTGTCAGATCATCTCCCCGCTCTCCTCTCTTGACCCACAATAGATGTGTGTAGAAGAGGTGGGGGGCTAGATCTCCCTCCCCGCCTTTTATAGGCAAGGAGTGCCCGGCGGCTAGGGGATTCGATTATTCTCCCCGTAACCGCCGGGCAGGAGGGTGGGACATTGGGCAAGGATTCCCGATGCCCCAGTTATCCCACGAAACGTAGGGCGGCTGGTTGAGAAGGTGGATCAAGCAGCCGCACATCAACACCTAGGCGGCGCCTCGCCTGGCTGGGAACGGCGGTTGAGCGGGCCATTCGGTCGGCTCCCCCTTCCCAACCACATAGGTGAGGCGTGAGGGGTGCAGGGGGAGCGGTGGTTGAGGATGGGCTTCGGCTCGCTTCCCCCCTCCCCTGGAGGAGCGGCGATTGAGGAGGCCCTTGGCTCGCCTCTCCCCTCCCCTGGCACCCCTCGGGGAAAGACGATGGATCGTCATCCGGACTCGGGGCGACGACTGCAGTTATACGGCTTCGGGGCCCCGATCCAAGTCCCTTCGCAGCGCCACCCGGGGAGGTTTTAGCCGGTAGGAGTCCGGCATAACCCTGGCCCTCCCCCGAGGTTCAGGGTATCCATGATGGATTTCCTCCTCGTAAAAAAAAAATGTACAGATAGAAGGTGATTTTTCAGAAGAAAGTCTGGGTGAAGAAGAAGTGGTAGAGGTCCGCGAGGTAAGTGCCTCCTCCTCACTCCCCGAAGAGAGTATGGCCATGGACCTCGGAGGACTAGCCTCCGAGGGACCATTTCTAGAGGACCCACCACCATCCTCGTCGGGGCAAGGAATTGACCGTAGCCGGCAGCTATCCTTCGACCGCGGAGGTGGAGCGGTGAGCCTGATGGATAGGCTCCAGACGGCCCCTCCCCACGGGTGCCACCTTGTCGTGGTGGGGAGGCTTGACGGCCCCAGTGATGTGCAGAGCTGTGCCGGCGGGGGCTTCGGCCCCTGGCAGGTTCTACCATGCCGGAGTGGTCTGCACTGAGGGACTGGACTAAGAACACCCAGGGTAGTCACGGCGGGATGACTAGCTGGTCATCCTCGACCATTTTTAGGGAAGAAGGATGGGGACACCATTCCTCCGACATTGTACGCTGGTGTTCCGGCAGTCGGAGGGACAGGATCCCATCCTGTGGGAGGTACCGTCCCCTAGGGCATTGCACGCCGGTGCACCGGCAGCCCGAAGGGACGGGCCACACTCAGGTCTGCACACCGTGAGACTTGGGAACCCTCATGATACCCGGGTTGGCGGGGGGTTCCGAGCCGCTCGGACGTATTCCGAGTTCGGGGCCGGGGCCCCCCGGGGAGAGCCCAGGGGATGGGGATCGCATCATCCCTAAACCCATCCTCTGGGCGGAGGAGTTTTGCTGGCTGCCGTGGGGGAGCGGTCCCGGTGGGATGCGACACTGGTGACCTAACTCCTTCCACGGGGCCCCCGCGTGGCGGCGCTCCTGACGGTGCCCAGGAGGTCGGAGGCCTGGGACCCCTGAAACCGGCTCACCCCCAGCGATGGAGGTGAGGCGGGAGTAGGGGGTCTGGAGTCCAGTGCTTGAGATGACCTCTTCCCCAGGCCCGAGACATAGACCGGTTTTCCGGGGGAACTCGGGGACACCACGGAGTTTTCTGTAGTGCGGACATGCCCGGCCGGTCGAGCCGTCAGGAGTGGTGGGTTGCAAATGAAATGGCTGATTTATATACAAAAAAGAGAAGAAGGGGAAGAGGAGGAGGGAGAAAAGTTCCGCCGGAACATCCGAGGGGAGCTATGGTGAGGAATGGCCGCCTTTGCCGGCAGTGGCTGGGAAGGCGTTGTCACCCACCCAGGGCACAGGAAAGAAGACAACAGAGGAAGAGATTTTGAGGAAATATCCTCATCTCTTGGACTCTGGGTCTTCCTCGGATGGAGGAGAAGCAGAAAATGAGGAAGAGGAGAGGGATATTGCTGAGGCGATTAGGGAGGTAGAAGAGGAGTAGATGGAGAGAGTAATTTATATAGAGGATGATGAACCCCTATATACCGAGCCTAGGTTCGAGGAATGGGTGGTTCATCTACGAGAACAAATAAAAGTATGGGGGGAAATAAGGAAATAGATAGTGGATACAGGTCCAGGCTCCAGGAAATTTTCAGAACTAATCTGGAATACATGACGCAGCTGGTTGGGGTTTCTAGGAGACTGGTGGAGAGCAATGCGGAACTGGAGAGAAAATTGGATATCAGCCAAGCGTGCAGAAAAGACCTCTGTGAGGCAATGGAAGAAAGAGGAGCAGAGCTTCGGTCTTTCCGCAAGGAGAGACAGAAGAGGGAGGGAAACTTTGAAAAGGAAAGAAAAGAATGGAGAGAGAAAATACGGGAAAGGGATGAGGAAAGGATTAGAGTAGAAGAGGAATTGAGGAAGAAATTAAAGGATAAGACAGGAAGGGTGGGGAGGGGGGTGTACCCAGACTGATGTGTCGCATAGCGATGCGTCGGCACAGGTGAACATCATCACCCCCTCTATCCCTATGGAGGTCGGGGAAGAAATGGGGAAGGGGAAGGAGGTCATAACGCAGACCTCGGATGAGTGGGGGGATCGGAGTGGGGGGTCTAGGGGGTGAGAAGTCGACGGGAATCGCCTCCACACAAACTGATGGGACCCCCACTTCGGTCCCAGAAGGATATCCTGTGGTCCCGGTCACCCCCCGAGAGGAAGGGTCTTGGGTGACCGTGGACCACAGGAAGAAGAGGAGAAAGAAGGAGGGAGAGGAAGAAGGGAACTGGGAGACAAGTAAGACCAGAGCCATTGCCCCTCAGCAGCTCCAGGGAGGGGAGCAGGGGGGAAGATTGGGGATGAAGGTACATCCACCATCCGGACCGCCCCTTGCTACATCGAAGAAAGGAATGCAAGGGAGAAGTAGGGGTGGCGGAGGGGGGAGAGGGATACAGCCTCCTCCTCGGCCTGCACCCCCTCAGGAGAAGAGGATCAGGTGGCCCCGGCTTACAGGGACAGCCGCCGTAAGTATTAAGTTGCCTCAAGGAGCCTCTTACTCGGAGGCCCTTAAAAAGGGCCTCTTCCCCAAGGAGAGCAAAACACCCGGGGCTGCGTCGGCCTATAGGCTGATATGCCTGCTGGACGAGACGGGCCAGATGCTCAAACGCATTATTGCCGACCGCCTCGTCCAGCCCCTGTCCTCGGAGGGGCCGGACCTCCACGACCATCAGTATGAATTTAGGCCTGGGAGGTCGACGTTGGACGCGGTCCAACACTTCCGGGACCTCACTACAACGGTCGTGGAGAGGAGGGGAGCGGGGTGTTGTTGGCGGTGTCTCTAGACATTAAAAAAACCTTCAACATCCTGCCTTGGCCGGAGATTGGGCAGGCCCTCGAACACCACGGGGTGCCCGTCTATCTCCGGCAGATCCTGTCGACCTACTTTGGGGACAGGGACTTCGCCTTCACGAAAGAAGGCGGGGTCCAGGGCCGGCGCGTTATGGAACGCGGTGTTCCGCAGGAATCCGTACTGGGCCTCCTGCTATGGAATATCACGTTCGACCGGGTGTTGCGCACTCCGCTTCACCGGGCTGCCACGTCGTCTGCTACGCGGACGACACATTAGTAGCGGCCTTGGGGGGAGAGTTGGGGGGAAGCCCGTCTCAAAGCGGAGATTGCGATGGCATCGGTGGTGGGTACCATCGTGGGCCTGGGTCTCAGGGTGGCACCCCAGAAGACGGAAGCCGTGTTCTTTCACGGCGGAAGTCGAGGGTCATCGCCGGAGACACGGGTCCTAGTCGATGGCGTCCACATCCGCGTCGGGCCGACGATAAAATATCTCGGCCTGACGCTGGACAGCCGTTGGGGCTTTGGGCCTCATTTCAGGCTTCTGGCTCCCAAGGTGCGCAGGGCAAGGTTGGCAGTCGCCAGTCTCCTGCGCAACCATGAGGGTCCGTGATGGTGGGCTCGCCGCCTATACGTCAGCGCGGTCCTCTCGATCGCCCTGTACGGGGCGCCAATATGGGCGACTCAGCTGGGGTCCAGAGATGGGATTGCCCGTATGCGGGCAGCCCTGAAGCCCCTGTACATAAGGGCGGTCAGAGGATTCCGGACGCTGTCGTACATGGCGGCGACCACCCTGGCCGGGTCTTCCCCCGTGGAGCTAATCGCTGAGAAGCGATTCATCCTTTATTGGAGGGTGAAGGGGCTCCGCGAGGCGGGGCAACTATCGGCCAGGGACCTGCGGGCCCTGAAGTCCCAGGCCAGTGCCCGGACCCTAGAGATGTAGGGCGACGTTCTATCGGACCCCAGGGGGTTCGGGCGCATAACGGCCGAGACTGTCCGCCCCTGCCTCCCAGAGATGGTGGGCAGGAGGGGATGTGGAATGACCTTCCATCTGGTGCAGGTGCTGACGGGCCATGGGTGTTTTGGCATGTACCTGCACCGGATCGGTAAGAAGCCCACCACCCGGTGCCACTATTGCCCCGTGCTAATGGACACGGTGCACCACACTCTGGTCGCTTGTCCGGCCTTGGGAGTGGAGCGCCGTGTCCTGGCCAGGGCGGTGGGGTGTCGGGAGGAAGAGATCTCGCTCCCGCGCATGGTCCAGGCCATGTGCGGGAGCGAGGGAGTATAGGAAGCGGCGGTCTCCTTTTGCAAGGACGGTCTGTCCCAAAAGGAGGCCGCCGAACAGGAGCGTCGACCGGTAGCTCGTCACAGGAGGCGACGTGGTGGTTCCCCCCCCCAGCTCCCGGGGGAGGGGTCTAGAAAGCGGGCCCGAGATGACACCGGCCGAGGAGGACGAAGGACCTCTGGATGTCAAATCCTCCTCGGCCGCCTTGAGCCCGCCTCCGTCCGCGGGGGGTGGGGCGCGGATCCCGACCGGAGCGGGTCCTTTGAGGGGCTCGCCTGAGGTGGAATCCCTGGTTTCCTCCTTGCGCGTCGGACGGGTAGGGACAAGGGGGAGTGGAGCATCCAGTTGGGGCTGGGCCCACTCCCCCAAAATCCTTCCCTCCCTAGCAAGGAGGGGAGGTAAGGAAGGAGGGTGGATGTCCCCTCTCTCCTAGATAGGCACCAGAAGGCTAACCGGCGGGATAACCCGCCGGGATCGCGCTCTGGATTCCCTTTGCGGAATAGGGCGCGGTATACGGAGGCGTGGGGCTCCCGGAGAGCCCTGGGATCGGGGGGTTTGGGAGGGAATACGGGAGTAGTTCCCCTGACTCCCCTCTCTTTGGCCCGACAGGTAGGCATCTAGCAGGGGTTTTCGTCGGTAGGAGTCCGACATAACCCTCGGCCCCCCAAGGACCGATGGTATCCATGATTGATTTCCCCTGCGTGACCAAAAAAAGGGAGTCGTGACTATAGATGATAGAATTCTGAGAGGATCGAATATCGTCGATCTTGTAACGGCCGAACTCCGCGGTTCGGTCGTCGCTACGCGTTTTGCGCGGATAAGGCTCGTCGGAGTCCGGGTTCGAGGAGGAGGAAAGCAGCGAGACACATGAGAATAGAAATATAAATAACTTAGATTTATGCTGTGCTGATTTATGTACAAGAGCTCGGCCCCGAAAGCGTTGTCGCGGGTTGCGTCTAGTAGGTGCGTCGGTACGTTACGGTGCGGTGCGATGTGCGGTACACGCGCGCGTACGGACGGATAGGCAGCGCGGAAGGCAGGTCCTATTGCGCGACGCGTGTAGACGGTAACGACGGTAACGGCGCAGTGATCAGTCTCGCTTCGCAACGCTGGGCGTCTCGGAGAATTATCGCCCAATACTCGGCTCGCAATTGCTCGCGTAAAGATGGTTGCCGGACCGGAGATTTTGACTCTCGGTCAAACGCACGCACGCGAGTCGCGGAATACGCGCAATAATTTCGTCGGGGCCAAGGACTTTCGACGGAGAAGGCGTACGCACCTTCCCTTTTCCCTACGTTTGCGGAGGAAAACGACCAAATGCTGCAGACACTCAGCGGAGACGGCGGACGCACCGTCCCAGGTCCTTGGTCGCTAGACGGATCGCCCAGAGGCTGAGTATGCTCAGCGGAGTTCGCCGACGGACGAACCCCTGACTCAGGACGGCGGGTAAAGGCTAGAGACTGTCGAGTACGCTCGACTGAGCGCGCGCACGCACGAGCCCAGGAAGACGGGAGATGGCCAAGTATCGAGCACGCTCGATCGAGACTGCGGATGCACAATCCCGTTTGCTTAGTCGCCGGTCGGGTAGTCGGAAGGCGAAAGGTAGAGCGAAACGGTCCGGAGGTTCTTTCCTTCAGCATAGAGCGTCTGGATCGAATGGCTGTACAGATCGGTCTGGTCCTCAGGAGCTCGATCGCCGCCGTTTTACAGTCGCATTCGCTACGATTGATACGGCGGCAATTGAGCGGCGCGCCTATCAGCGCGAGGTACGGCGACGGCGCGTAATCGCGGCCGCGCGCGCTAGCGGCAGCGCGTGATCGCAGCGGCGCGCGATCATTTCGATCGATTAGGGTGGCGCAAAGCGCCGTTCTTCGGCCCGACAGGTGGTCGGTCGGGCCGGTAGTAACGAGGTGCATTTGCGCCTCGTTACAATCTCTTGAACGACGCGGCTCGCGAACGAAAAACTAGCAGAACGGTAGCGAGAGTACAGTTTGCACGACTTTTGCGTGAAATGAATACTCCTCCGGAATTTGTAGGAAATCGGGAATTACTGGAGGAAGACGACGGAATGATCGACCTCGTAAATTTCTACTACGATCCTGCACACTATGCGGGATACTCTGCGATAAAAAATCTTTCGCGAGCAGCAGGACCCGGCTCCGCACGTGAAGAGATTATTCTTTGGCTTCAGTCGCAGTGGCTGCGTACACACTTCATCGATCGATACGACATAAATTTCCACGTTTGCATTACATCACGAATATCGACGATCTGTGAGAGGTCGATTTGATCGAACTCGTTAATCTCCGAAATTACAACGAAGGCTATTGTTACTTGTTGACAATCTTCGATGTGTTTAGCAAATTTGTCTG